CCCCAAAACCCCAAAACCCCAAAACCCCAAAACCCCGACATTGCTCTTTAAATAAAAGGGATATATTTTAATTCAAATATAAAATGCTCGCTTCTCTACTATAGTTAGTCTTAAATTCTAGCCATATTAAAAAACACTCTCAAGAATTATCCAGATCAAACTAAGTGTTTGAAGAGAAGGAGAATAAGCTTCTAAAAGCACATAATTAGTGAAGTTATTTATAAATTATCAACAAAGCCAGTTTATCAGCTCTCGAAAGTTCACTCTAAATTTCCACCCATATCTATTTTGTACAAAATAATCAGCCATAATAGTTTCGGTAAATTTTGCATTTCTCATTAGACTCTATTTAAAACAGTGAAGTAGAAAAAGAAAGCTTCTGGAATTTATGCAGTGTTTTATACAGAAAAGTATGAAAATGCCTTTCCAAAATGTTCCTAATTTTTTACAAAAATTAGGACAGAGGTTTAGAGAATAAATTGCTAATTAAAGCACTTTCATAAGAAAGATTGAAAAGATTTTAGCATTAAATTGAGGCAAATTATTAATACAGCAAATCTTTGAATCAATAATATGGTCGAAGCAACTCGATTGCTTCGAAAAATACATTGCATTGTTCGGATTCAGTACAAATATGACTACTTGGTTCGTTATTCAGATTATGAAGCATCGAATCATCAGTGTTCACCTCTCTTTGGTTCTTTGCTATTGGAATCGAGCATTGAACTTGACTGGCGTGAGATGAAAGGTCATTTGGGATAGACTTTATTGACACTGTTACATTCTGATTTGGTTGAATTATTGACATTCCAGAATCAATTTTCTTCACATCGCAAGGAACCAGTGATTTCACAATGTCTCCAGCAACAATAACCTCTCCATTTCCTAATACTAAGAATGTATTATTATTTTGAGAAATAGTTTCTTTAGCTTTAAAGCTATTCTGAGTCATGAAATCAGTACAATCCTTTGTGGTGTCTTCTTTGAGTCTATATCAATGTTTAAACAAGTTTACGGACAATTTAAAAGCATTAATTATTTAAAGTAATGACAAAGAAGAAAATACAACTAAAATAGTTTGCAAAATTCTATATATTAAAATTCCCTACCTTTGAGACTTCACAAATTTTCCCAGTTCGAAAGATTTGTCTCTCTTTACTTTTTGAATGGAGAATATTTTCTCAAGTCCAAACTCTTCTTCTTGCTTTCTATTAAAATAAATGTTTGGGCATTACTTTTCAAAATATTTTGAATCTCTTTTCTTAGCATTCTTACAAGTCTGGCTTATTCCTTCGTCTTCAATTTCTTGATTTCCTTCATCATGAGTCTTACCATTTTTATAGAATCTGAGGTTATCTCACTTATTAGCAAGAATGTATTCCATGGGGTCTTCAAGACCAAAATGCTTCTTGATTTGATAGAAGTACCTTCTCTGATGTGACTTGATTTGGTGTCTAGTTCTGCTTGGAATCTATACTTTGAATAAAAGTAGAGAGTAGTACTTTACCATTTCTCTAAGCTTGGGCCAATTGATTCCATATGTTTTGAGTCCTAAAATTATTTTTAATCTTACATTTTATAAATTGAGCATGTTCCTCGTTTGTCCAGGGTCCATTTTTCAAGTTTTTAGACCAAGAAAACATTTGTTTCAGCTAAAAATAGATTACAGATGAAGAGATTCTTGAGGGTAAGAAGGTTTATACCATCCTTATTGTCAAATTAACTATTCTCTTACTTGATATTTTCTGTTATTCATCATCTGTCTAAAAATAGTTAAAGAAGAATTGGTGAATGAACATTGTGAGTTAAATTTTTAGCATTTTGAGATCATTAGACCCTCAAACTCAAAGATTTGATTATGAGATGGAAAGAAAGTTCATAGATTACTTTGCTTCACTAAGATCTTATCATGATTTAAAATAAGCATTAATGAAATTCTTTAATAAATTTTATCTAGAACTGGAACAAAATTATTTTAGCAATAAAAATTATTGTTGATATAGCTTATGTCCCAGATTTTTACAAAAATTATCAATGAACTAGTCAGATTTCGATGAAAAACAATTTCAAAATGAAAGAATATTAAAAATCTCATACCATCACCCAAAATTAATGCTTGTAATGATCTACTTAACGATTGATACAAAATAGCAAAGATAGTGGCCAAAGAAGTAAGATAAATAATGATTAACCAGAAAAGTAATAAACCCAAAACTTCCTCTTCTAAATACAGAGGAAATTCTTCACTTTGACTAAAGATCAGAATATTTATTAAAAATAGCAAACACTAAGATAAAACATTTGCGTAAGAACTCTCAGACTATAAGCAAATAATATTATTTTCCTCTAAGCACCAATGCATATTTCCAAGATACTATAATTTCTTTCCTAGTCGTATTCTATTCTTCTAATTACAAGCAGCACTGAACTTTAGCAAAGCTTATTCACTGTAAAAGACTCAGTTAGTTATAATATGATTATTATAACGATAGCAAAATATATCAATGTAATCAATACAAAAAGCCAACAGAATTAGCACGCCGCAGAAGTTTATAATTGTTGGCATCAGCATAACGCTTGAAGAATAGAAAAGGATATTTAATGATAATTGCAGGGTTCTACAACTCTATGCTGATCTATATGATTTAAATGTCAATTCTATACTTTGACATTTCGTCAGACAGCCCGACTTGCCCACTTTCTTTCCAGTACCAAATAGTGGAGATTCTTGATTTAACCTAATAATTTGCGTATCAAATTAAAGAAATATAATACTAGCATTTGAAAGAAGCTTATATCTGGAAATATTTCAATTATCCTCTAATCCAAAAAAATAATAAGTTTTGGAAAGCTTCAGAAACTTTTATCAATTTGGTAAAACATTGAGAATAATATCAACTAAAGTCCCCAGCCAGAATTTATGCCATTAGCTAACTTGCCAAATTCATGATTAGTAATCAAAGCATGAAGGTGTTTGTCTTCATGGCTAAGTTATTGCTAATCTATCACTTGAAGTCAGAAATTTGTCTTAGAATAACACTGGATTTTAACAAAAATGGAGTAACTAAAGTACCAACTAAGACTAGAGGACCAAACAACTTAGGATTCTGCAGGCTAAAACTTGAGGATATATGAGATTTCTAACATAATATTTTAAATAATTTGCTCAAGTTTGAATAGCCACACTTTTTGAGAATTAGGATCATAGACTAAGAGAATTTGCTCAAAATTTTAAAGGATACTGCAGACTCTGGCACTTAGCCTCATAGGTTCTTAGAAGGTATGGAAAATTGCTAAAAGTAAATCATAATTTTTAGACATGGATAAAGAGTCAGTTATTTTTTGCTGAAATTCCTAACATTTCAGAAGTGGAAACTTGAAAATATAAAGTTGGTAAGTTAAATAATCTAGTGAAAATCTTTAGAAAAAGAAAAAGAGAGTCTACTATAGATTGCTGAGTTATAATAGTTTGTTACACTATCACCTCATACATTAGCTATGAAATACAAAAATATGTCAATATTTGAATCGAGTGAGCTTAGAAATAAGCCTAAATAATAGAAGAGGTTTCATTATTTAGGGTTGTTTCTTTCGTATCTAAAATTCAAGAGTCTTTGAAGTGATCAATCTTAGATGAAGGTTGTCAAAATATGGATATGATAACACAAGAACAACAACCTATGGTTCATCATATCAAAAATTGGTCTTTTTCACAATAAATATAAATGAGTTTCTATTAAATTAACAGAAGGTGAATATTTTTTATTGCAATCTTTTATGTGATGAAGAATTGAGAGGCAAACATCCTGGAAGGTTTTAAAATTATTCTAAAAAATAAAGATTTGTTGCAGATAATAAAATTCAAAAAATTCTTGTTCTAATAGCCACAAAGAAGCTTTTGTACATCCCATTTCCTTCAAATATCTGTCTCATCCCTTTCATAAATTTTTAATAAAAGTTATCAATTTTATATTTCATCCCTCTTAAAATTATCCCAAATCTACTTTCTTTACCAAAACCTAATCTAAACTCTCAAAAGTTTTTTATTTTATTATTCCTATCCAAGTTATTTATATATCTATTATATGATCTTAATCTTTGATCAATTATGAGCTAAGAAAAAGAACCAATAGCCATACTTACTTTTTATTAAATTAATTCTATAAATAACTCTTGCCTCGGGGTTTTGGGGTTTTGGGGTTTTGGGGTTTTGGGG